TATCGGTCTCTCTATCGCTAATAAGCAATACTTTCAGACCATTTGTTAATACGATTGCCTTATAATCGCGTTTATCATCGTTTGGCTTAACTATACTCTCATAGCTTTCGGCCACTGAATCGTTGGTCACATTAAAAACATTCATTATTTAAATTTTACAAAATTAATAGTATTGACACTTTTTAAACCAATGTAATTATATTTAAATTATTTCATAACTAATTCACAACTAATAATATTTTATAATAAAACTTCAAGACTTATTTAATAACAATATAAAACATTGAATTAAATATATTATTATTACAATTATGCTATGCAACAAATCATATGTGTGGGAATTATGGTACTACTGTACTATCACTGATTTATCAGTATTTTTAATAGTGAAATACACTTAATTATAATCGTGAAAGTGATTATACCTTCTTTGAATACAATGATCAATATTATTCAATTCATCGCCAAAATTATAATGTATTGCATTGTTTATATAGTCATTCCTACGTATTATAAAGTGTTTTATTTATTAAATATTTAATTTATACCACAATAAACAATTAATGTAAAAATAATTTATTGCAAAAATATAAATATTATTAAAAATTTATATTCAAACACAGTATGCAAATAAAAAATACTTAAAATTTAATCACAAAACTTTTGTTATCAATTGTTTTTTTAATGATTAAATGATTTTTTTCAAACATAAATCATATCAACAAAATTAAAATTACTTTCATTGGTTGCATGAATAATTCTTATTTATTTTAGCATAACTGTAATCTATAAAAATTTATATGAACTTTCCCATATTTTATATTGTAAATAGTCTATTATTTAACATGATTTTAGCTAGCAGAATCAAAAACACACAGTCCCATTTTTTTTAAATCACCTTCTCTCAAGTTGTAATAATACCAATCAATGACTAACTAATAGTTAGTAACTATTATATCAATATATAAAATAATATTTTCATAGAATTACTTATTTTATAATAGCATAATTTATATAAAATTTATATATCTTTACAATTATTATAATTAAATAACTTGTATATTTTTATTGCATTTATACCATATTATAAATATACTGTATATTTATAATTATTTAAATAAAATATTATTTTTCTATAATCATAGAAAATAACGTTGTTTATATTTGTTTCAAAATCATTTTAATTTATCATTAATTCAATGGTTACAATATAACCATGCTCATTTTGAGCACGAGTTCTCTATACTATCATACTCGTGACATTCGCCGCCACACAACGGGCTAAGTAAGCAATAAGTTAGGTAATAGATAGACTGCCACACGATTTCATATTCTCCGGGTGTGCAATCAATCTTAACATCACACAAATAATTAAATTAATAATTTATTTATTTATAACGCTAATGATTACCTTGGCCACTTTGTTTAAACAGTCCAAATATGTCCACTCGTAGCAGCACTTGTACTTTTGGTCGGTGATGGTCGGGTCATAATTAGGTATAGTCTGCTTAATACAGGCCACTACGTGGGGACTGGTAGGCGATACACAGCCATTAGGCACCAGAGATAGGGCAGAGCCTATGCCATTATTAGCCAGAACAAATACAGACAACAATACAACCAAGTACATTTTTGATTGAATATGCTCTTTGTAGTGTTCAAAATGAATATTAAATATTTAAACAAGTTAGCCGTATAAATAGTGCTTTTATAAAGTACACTTTGACCAAGTTCCTATTTGTAATAAACATATTAGATCCTGGTGTTTGAGATCTCTCGACAATATGTAAACAACACTTGTATTTAGTGAAATGCATTCTAAGAATTCAATCACTATTATTGTATTAATATCAATGAATTTCATTATAAATTCCAATTATATTTTGCATGGATTTCAATGCATTTATCAATAATCATAACTTGATTTCTGCACAACACAAACACATCGACAGATTCTCAACAATTGTCACACAAATAGCCCCACATATTCACGCATACAATGGTGTAAAGAGCGGACATTTAGTTATAAATAAATTCATATTAAGTTATATTAAAAGATTTAAGAAATCAATTGTTAAATTGTTTTGAATTACTGCTAAATCGTAAACCAATATTACTATTACTGTGAAATTATTGTATAGTTGCAAAATTTGCCCTAAGCAAGCATCTAGAATTAGTGAGTGGTTATGTAATCAAAAGATGTAAAATACTTTATTTTTTAATTAATATAATTAATTAATATTTATAATTATTTAAATAAAATATTATTTTACTATATTCATAGAAAATGTCGTTGTTTATATTTATTTCAAAATCATTTTAATCAATTCAATCATTACAATATAACCATGCTTATTTTGAACACGAGGTCTCTATATCTCGGTTGAAACGACATTCGCCGCTACCGTAATTCATGTCAAGTAAGCCACGAGCGATGTAATAGATAGACTGTTGCACTGTTTGATACTCACTGGGAGTGCAATCCACCTAAACATGACATAAACAATTAACTTAATAATTAATTAATTTATTTATAATGCTAAAATTACCCTGCCCACTGTGTTATAACAGTCCAATAAGACCCAATCGTAGCAACACTTGTACTTTTGGTCAGTGATGGTCGGGTCATAATTAGGTATAGTCTGCTTAATACAGGCCACAATGTGGGGACTGGTAGGCGTTACACAACCATTAGTCTCCAGAGGTAGGGCCGATCCTATGTCACTATTAGCCAGCACAATTGCAGACAATAATACAACCCAGTACATTTTCGATTTAATTTACTCTTTTTAGTGTTTGAAATGGATATTAAATATTTAAATAAATTTGCTTTATTTATAGTTCTTTTATAACGTAAACTTTAACCTAGTTCCTATTTGTAATCAAAATATTAGATCCGGGTGATTGAGATATCACTACAACATGTGTAGTGCTAATTGTCATTAGATATCGTTTGTACAGCGAATGCCTGTATGACGGGTAACCCATATGATATGGGCCATATCTCAACCAACTGGATTTAATTTAATGTTAAGATTAATTAAGCAAATAAATGCAAATAGATAATAGCATGCACATTTTTAGTTCCCATATTTTTTAACCACTATTCTGATAGGAATAATGTGGTTTATAGGATCGTTCGGCCCCCCCTCCCCCTCCCCCCCTC